TATATTTTTTCTAGGTGATCTAGTGTACACAACTTTAAAAAGTAAAAAAAATTGACATTTTTGTAAAAACTTCACTAAAAACGGAAACAAGTCCCCCCCCTCCCAAAAAAAAAAAAATCTATACTATGATGATGAACAGCTTTCCTTACATGTTAGCTGTCTGTTTCAGCTATTTTTGGAAGGGGAAAAAAAAATTTAAAAGCAACTTACTTTCTAGCAAGTAAAAAAAGTTATTTTCAAAATTTTGAAAATATCTATGCATTAAAAATGAAAATGATCTATAGTTTTGATCCTTTTATTATTTTTGTTTTCGAAAACACAAAAAAACCAGACATGCTATTATTCCTAGTTGAACTTAGTTAATCTAACCTGTGAAAATTTAATTTTTTTACATATATGCAGGTGAACACACATTTCTGGATGTTGTGGACAACTCAAATTCAAAGAATCAAGAGATCAGAGTGATAATTGAGCTAAATTTCCGAGCCGAGTTCGAGGTTGCAAGAGCAAGTGAAGAGTACAACAAGCTCATTAGAAAACTACCAGAGGTGTTTGTTGGGAAAGTTGAAAGACTACACAACTTAATCAAGGTCTTGTGTTGTGCAGCCAAGAAGTGCATGAAAGAGAACAAAATGCACATGGGTCCATGGAGGAAGTATAGGTATATGCAAGCAAAGTGGCTCGGCACGTGTGAAAGGACAACGTGGACACCGCCCTTGTCGACAGTGTGCCCTGGCAGTGCACCTAGGCCACGGAGGGCGTCCATGTTGACAGTAGATTTGTTGGAGAACTTGCCCAACTTGCACCGGACGGCTGTTCAAGTTTTGTGATTGGAGATCATGGTTTTAAATATCACTTGACGTATGACTGGTTCTGATTCGTAGCGGTTTAGAGTCGATTCAGAGCTGATAAAGGCTAGTTTAGTTGTTATACAATTAAAGCTTTTTTTGCTATTGATGGTTTTAAAAAATTTACAATGGTGAGGTTTTGCTTATTCTCTTGTTTGTGTACTACGGATAGGTACGTATATAGAGTTGTGAGTGTATCATCAGATGTGAACAGAAAATAATCATAACATTTTGCTGGTGGATTTGAACAAGATTTGTGTCAAGTTGCTTATATTTGAGTTTTTGGCTCATGAGATGAGACCTGTCAGATAGTCCACGTGACCAGCTTATGATCTCATCTGAGCCACGCCCGTTGGGTAGGCCTTGAGTTTAAAGTTTTGACTTGTAGCTTGGCTTGTTAAGAAAAAAGACTGTTGTGCATGCAAAATTATTTAATAATCTCAGAATACTACGTAATCATATTCCAAATCAATCACTAATTATTTAATTCTATATTGTTCTCCCATCCTAATATAAATCATGAGCACCTACACCTCTCTACCAATCAAAATCTTATGGAACACTACGTGTCTATATTTCGAAAATACTAAATAATCATCCGTTGTACATAGCCTGCTGATGGACCTTTTTTTTTATGACTAGATGTTTGGATCAACTTATATGCACCTCAATTAATTTTAGGACTCACGCAAAACATTCCCTCTACATGGGTCAGGTAAGTCTCCGGCAGAGTCAGCGAGCGTAACTTCAAGGAATTGATAATATCTAGAAGGAGTTGAATCTGAGGCTTGGAGAGAGTACACCCTCCGGCCAAGCTGCACCCACTAGGCCAACTGCTTAAGGTTTTCTGCAGACGGACTTGGTAACCATTTTGCAGGCCAACCTGGCCTGATGCCGACCATTTGGGGCAGGGGTGAGGGCTGGTTGGGTTGCCATCCTTATCTTTTTTTATTTTTTTATCAATCCATCAACAAAAATAAAGTACAACAATGATGAGAATTGGACACAAGATTACGCTCATTTGGTGCCTGGAAAGTGGCTCGATTTGTTGGTAGAAGTAAACTAAAGTTTTTCTTTTAACTGTAAAAAAGAATATTATTGATAAAGATTCGAGTACATAACAATAGATGTATATTAATAAATGAGGTGAGTGTAAAGAGTATCATAGTAATATTAAACAATCTCAATTAGGTTGACACGACGAAACAAGTACAATCATATACTAGCACAACACCAAGTTGGTGAGAAACTAACCAAACAAACGGCCAAAACAATATTTAATGAAAACAAAGTAACAGTAAGGGCAGAACTAAATTAAAGTTAATGGAAGGTATGTCATGCTCGCAATAAAATTAAAGTAAGATAATATTTGAATAATACCAATTATACATTCTAAAACTATATCGTTTTGTTTTAACTCTAAATTTTGACTGGTGAATTATCACAATAAGATTATTGCAAAGAGAACCACAACTGTGGATATTAATCCGTAAATGGGGTTGCAAGTTATTGAGGCTAGCCAATGATTAATTGAATTTAACAAAAATCGGGAGAAAATTTACACATCCAAAAAACATACTATAAAAATATTCAGAATTTACAATCTAAAATCAATATTCATTCATGAATTAGCCTCACAATAAGACGATTAAATCTAGGGTTACATTTAAAATTCTGAATAATTTTTTGATTTTTCTTTCCGGGTTCATAAATTTCCTGATGGTGACATCTTTGTGAATGTAAACAAAATTGTAATCTTGTACTTGGACTGGTCCAACATGTCAAAACACAACATTACTATGCTGCAATATATAGCTGCTGAGACAAGTGGCGGCCAGATTAAAGTGAATTTCGGTGGTTAATACAATGCTACTCACCTTGGTTTCTCCATTATAATTGTCCAATCTATGTAGTGATCAACTACAAAATGAAGTTCTCCAAACTTCATAGCACATCAACAGAACTTAAAAATAATTGAATTCAATCAAACATGGCAGAGAAGGAAGGAGGAATCGTCAAGAAGGGCCATGAAGAGGGCATGAAATTGGCAGTCTCTCTGCTTGAAGAGTTTGGACTTCCCTTGGGGCTTCTACCTCTGGCTGATGTGATCGAAGTAGGGTTTGTGAGGAGCACAGGGTACATGTGGATCGTGCAAAACAAGAAAGTCGAGCACAACTTCAAGATGGTCGGCAAGTTAGTGAGTTATAGCGATGAAATAACCGGTTATGTTGAGAAGAAGCGGATCAAGAAGCTCAAGGGAGTGAAGGCTAAGGAGCTCATGTTATGGCCTCCGGTGAGCGATATCATCGTGGATGATCCGGCTACCAGAAAAGTTCACTTCAAGAGCTTGGCTGGAATCACCAAAACTTTCCCAGTTGAGGCATTTGCTGCTGGCCAGTAAAGAGTAGTAATACGTATCGAGATTTTAAAATTTTGATACCAATAAATTAATCATCTGATATCTGGTGATATATGGCTGTATCGCCAATACTCATACATTTTTCATTTGTGTCATTTAAATTGCAGCTTCTTGATCAGTAGTCCATATGGTCTACCCAAAAAGTTCTATGTATTGGTATTTTTATATAATATATTTGTCTCCCTTATTTACTTGTTCTTCCATTTAAGTGCTTAATATTTTGAGTAATGTAAGTGAGAAAGCAGCATGTATTGTTGCTGGGGGGAAAGGACATCATACAATGCCACAAACTGGTTGGATTAAAATATGATAGAAAGGGAAAGGATGCTGGGACGTACTTGTATCTAGTTTAAAAAAAAAAAAAAAAAAACACTTGCAATGTGTAGACATCCTATTTTGACCGCCCTTAAGACTTGGGTGTCTCTCTCTGAACACTCGATGATGAAATGTTACGTTGTGCAATCGTTCAATTCTTCAGCAAAATGATTCTATTTCAAGCTTTAAAACCTAAACCTTGCGCATCTTTTGGACAAAAACCTTATTTTTTTTTTAGCCCAATCACTCAGAGAACTGCTGGCCAACAAATAGCCATCAGACCATTTTCATTTGGTTGGCCGTACCTCCTCATGGTCGGTCGGCCATGTTTAGCGTAGCAGATATTTTGACAGCTGTCACTTTCTCACATGCACATGCTTTGGACCAGTTGTCTTTGATACAGATATTTCCGACATGAGAACCTGTTTTTCTATAAATACAACACCCCCCTTATGGTTTAGGGTTAGAAAAATTCCCTAACACCCCAAAGCCTTAACCAACCATCTTCTCTACCCTCTTGCAATATACATACACAATACATACACCTTATAAGCTTAAACTTGAAGCTTTTGCTAAGGTTCTTAAAGATAATTTCAGACTCTAGAGAGTGCTTAGCTTGTGGTTTGTGAACTAAGAAGAACATTCTCTCTTTCAAGAGGTGATATTTGAACTCTTCAACCATCTTTTCTCTCTTTTTCTTGTATTTTCATACTGATTTCAGGGTGTTTTTAAGGCTTGAAATATGTGATTTAAACCTCACAAAAAGAGAAGGGGTTAGTCACCATTTCTTAGGCCTTGTTCCATAGCTTGTTGCTTTGCCTTTTCTACTTTGTTTCTTTTGATTTTGGCCACTGTTTTTTTTTTTGAGTTTAGGGCCTGTTTAATGTGTCTATTTAATTTATACTTTGAATATCATACTTGTGTTGTTGTAAGTCTTCATGGGTTTGGTGTATAGGCCATTACCACCAATTCATTTGAGTTGATAGTTTTCCTTTCCATATCATTCATGCATATATTCATGTTATTGTAATCATCCACTTTTCATTCACACTCTACAACCTACCTCATTTCTCTGTTTATTTTGATTGAGGATTGTATCAACCAAAAGATTTTTGCTTATGGCATAAGAAAGGGGTTTCATGTGCTAAATGGTTTAACTTCTTCGGAGGTTCATTATCAGGGCATCACATCTTTCTACTACAAGAATTTTCACTTTTGGCGACTAAATTTTTAGTCACCAAAAGTCACTATTTAGTAGTCGAAGGCTTTTAGCGACAAAAATATTTGGTCACAGAATTAGTCAGGAAAGATCATTGGCGACTAAAATTATTTTAGACGCCAAGTGTACTACATTGCCGACCAAGTTTTTAGTCGCCAAAAGGTTTGAAGTAAAATTAAATATCATATTTTTGGAAACTAATTTTTTTGTCGCTAAAAGTTCAATTATTTTTAGCGACTAATCATTTAGTAGCGGAAAAGAGTTTTAGCTACTAAATATATTAGTGACCTAAAGTAAATAACAATGTTTTGGCTATTAAGATTTTAGTCGCCTAAAGTCAATTTTTTTTTTTCCCCTACTAAAGGTTTAGTCGCCTAAAGTATTATGTTTTTAGCTACTAAGATTTTAGTCGGCTAACATTTTGTGTTTTGGCTACTAAACATTTGGTCGCCTAAAGTCTCATAACTTTTTGCTACTAAAGTTTTAGTCACCAAAAGTTTTTTTTTTTTATTTCTTCAGCTTATTTTTTTAGCTACGACATATTTTAGTCACCATATGTTTGATTTTTTTTGCTACAAAATATTTTAGTCGCCAAATGTTTGATTTTTTTTTTTTTTGGCTACTAATAGCTAAAACTATTTTCCGAATTTCTTTTTTTTAGCTACTAACAATTTAGTCGCCAAAAACATGCTCTTATGTTTCATCGCAAAATTATAATTTATTCACAACATGTCTGTATTCCATGCAACCTGTAATACGTATATAAACAAAACAATACATATATTATCCATCATTTCACAACGTAAAATTATCAATCATGCCACGGTCCATATTTCTTCCAACCATCCAAGAATGAATAACTTTAAATGTATATATTCCATACAAACCAACTATTGTCCAAACTAAAATTATATTTCCATACAAAAATTCAACCCGCCATATACAAGAAATATATTTACTACCATGCGATATGGCCATTTGGCGTGGTACAACTTACCATCGTAATCTATACCACGACAAAAGGTGATCTATATGCTACGCCAGCAACTAACAGTTGGATTACAAAAGTTTTATGTATTAGTAATGCTAATATTCACAAAAGCAGAGGAAGACATAGTTAGCAGGATTATACAAAAGTGTCAAGTGTCCTCCATAAACAAAAATGTTGGTATAACTTACCATCGTAATCTGTACTACGACAAAAGGTGATCTATATGCCACGTCAACAACTATCAGTTGGATTACAAAAGTTATATGTATCAGTAATATTAATATTCACGAAAGCAGAGGAAGACATAGTTAGCAGGATTATACAAAAGTGTCAAGTGCCCTCCATAAACAAAAATGTAGACTATCCACAAGTCCACGCCAAAAGCCATCTACAAAAAATAAAAAAACAATTGCACCCATTACAAATATCAATTCATTCAGACATAGGAAAAAGGTTGTAATAACATACATTTAAGATAGAACAATCTATAAAAACCTTTTTACAAAATACAATCATATGTATGTATCATGAAAGATTTATTCCAAACTTGATTTCAATTTACAAATAATACAATTTTTAGGAGCATACCTCTTCATAAAATAAATTTTTATGAATAGAATGTTTTGGTGGTAAATTTATTTTAACTCTTCTTCATTCTCATTTTCCTAGTCAAAGTAAAATGATTGAGTAATCTACGGGGTCATTTCCATAACCGTATCATGCTTTCTTAATACGTTTACCACCCAAATGACCACCGTGTATGATGAAACAATGGCATCATTTATGAAGAAAATGTTGAACATTTATTAGATGTCAAACTATCTTTTTTTCGAATAAGTTTAAGTCGTTTACAACTCTAACCCCCAAACTACGTTTTCTAATGACATTCCGTCTGTTATCACAAGTCCTATATGTCACGGGGAAGCTGGCCATGACATCCCTACGGAGGTTCCGGGGCTGTTTCACTTTTTTGCTCCCTTAACACCCTTTTCAGTTAAGCTTAAGGCGTTTTTTACTCTAACTCCCAACCTATACGTGCTAATTACATTCCTTCTATTGCCACAGGTCCTATTTGTCACAGGGAAGGTGGCTGTGACATCCGTACGATGGTTCGGGGGCTGATTTGCATTTTTGCCCCCCTTAACGTCCATTTTTGGGGAAATTTTGTATGATAAGGATTAGAAACCCTACCATGACCTCTTTGGCCTTTGCTGGTCATTCGGAAATACTGTTTTGGCCCTGCAAATATTCACGAGTTAGAAAATTGGGAAGTGAATTATTCTCACCTTTGATATATTCAGTATCAAAATCAAATACTGATAAAGCATTTTGCCATTTTGCAAATATCTGTTTAGATGCTAAATTTAAAGCATCTTTTTTAAATATCTGTTTGGCTGCAAAACAATCAACTCTTATAATAAAATGTTAATTAAGCAAATCATCCTGGAATTTTAAAACCCATTTAACAATAGCTAAACATTCATGTTTAATGGTTGGATAGTTTAAAGTTGGTCCTCGCCAACTACCGGAATGAAAACGTAATAGTTCTTCTGTAGAGGTATTAGGATTGAATTGTTTTAAAATCCCACCAAATCCCTGATTAGAGGCGTCTGTTTCAACAATCTTTTTCCATTAAGGATTAGGAAGTTGAAGACAAGGTAATTGTTTAACCCTAGCCTTAATCTTCTGAACAGCTGTTGTATGTTCTTCAGACCACGGAGGAGGATTCTCATGAAGACGGGTATAAAGAATAGAGGCATCCTTATCTAACCAGTGATAATAATCCCTGATATAATTGAGACTACCGAGAAATCTCTATAGTTGAGTTTTATCTTTTATTTCATCAGGAAATTTGGAAGAAAACTCAATACTTCTGTTTATTGGGATAATGTTTCCATTATGAATATTATGACCAAGAAAACGTACTATTGTTTGGAAAAGTTTCATTTTGGGTGCAGATATAACCAAACCATTTCTGATAATAACATTCTTAAATATATTAAGATGTTTAATATGCTGGTCAATAAATGATGAATAAATTAAAACATCATCAATATAACAAATTGTAAATTCTGTATAAGGATTAAAAATATCATTCATAATATGTTGGAATTCTGATGGAGCATTTTTTAAGCCAAATGGCATAACATTCCATTAATAATGCACAAAAGCTACTGTAAAAGCGGTTTTATCTTATTCGGCAATTTAAACTTGCCAATATCCTGATTTCAAGTCAAATTTGGAAAATATGACTGCATCCTATAATCGATCTAAAAGATCTTTTTTTGTTAGGAATAGGGTATCTGATCCATCTTAAAACATCATTAAGAGGTTTATAATTAATTACCAATCTTGGTACACCTCTCCCAATTTCTGCATTTTTATTAACAAAAAATGTTGTACAACTCCAAGGGGAGTGACTTGGTTAGATTAATTTCTTTTGCAGAAGATTTTGAA